CCTCCTGGGCTGCTGTTCTTCCTGGGTGTGAGACAGCCCAGACCGAGGCTGTCTGAGCACTTTTCCCAGCCCAGCAGCTTCAGACAATCCCCAGACTCAGATTCTTAATTGCAGGCAACCAAGTGGGCTTAGCAGGTTGCACCTGCAATTGCAGGGGCTTATAGATTGCTCAGCCTAAGAGCAACAGGGTGCCCATCCTCTGAATAATTTCAAGCCAGCTTGCAAGTTTCCAAACATCAATTTAGCGGCATTGCTGCTAATGCCTCTGAAAGCTGTGACAGAGGCCTGTTGCCAGCATTGTCTGGAGCAAGCTCAATGAATTAGTTTGCAGTTGTCTGGGGCTTGAGCCAGAGAATCGAGTAGCGCAAGACCACACAGATTCCCTTCCTAAAAAATAAAACATAAATTTATATATATATATATATATATATATATATATATATATATATATATATATATATATATATATATATATAAAACGATTAAAAAATTTGACCACTTTAATTCAGCAGGATGATTCAATTCTCCCTCCTTACTCCCCTCCCACTCTCATATATCTTGTGGGAGTGAACAATTAATTTTTTTTTTTAAAAATGCCAGCCCTGTTCCTTGGCAGGGAGAATGCCTGCAAGCCTTTCCCATCCCTGGGTGTAAATATGGAGAACGTCAACAGCATGAGGAACATCTTAGGATAATTGAAGTAGCAGGGCCGAACTCAGTGCGGGATTTTGAAGAACTTCCCCTTTCTGGGTAGAGATTTCTGCTGTAAATGAGCAGGAACTATTGGCGAGTAGGTGTTTAATTCAATCCGAATTCATGGCCCCAGGAGAACAAAGGAAGAATTGCCTCCTGGTGGGACTTTAGCACTTGGACCTTGAATCAGGCCAGTCTCCAATTGGCTTGCTAACAAAGGCTTGGGAAGGAAAGAGGGAGGCAGAGGGATGCTTTCAAAGACATACCACACTTTCATGCAGCCTGGGGAAATTGAAAAGACCCTGGACAAAATAGTCCCCCCCCCCCAACCAGGAGGCAATGGCTATGGAGATAAACGAAGCAAACTCTTTATATTTGAAGGACAGCATGCAGTCTCTAAATTCTGCCTTGGAGGCACCAATGTGCATTCAGCAGCCTTTGGAATTAAATGTAGGCGGGTGGGGAGCCAACTCTTTGTAAGCCATCTCCTACCATCTTACTAGTATATATAAATCATCTCTATCCTGAAAAGCATTATACTTGAGGGAATCTGGAAGATCACCAGCAAACCAAGAGACTGGCAAGCAGGTCACGAAATGCCCGATATGGAAAAAACTGCCCCAAACCTGCTCTGCTTTCCTGTCTTTAGGGCAAGGGTGTCTAACCTTTGAAATATCGAGACATGTGAACTTCAGCTCTCAGAATTCCCCAGCAATTCTGGGAGTTGAAGTCCACAAAACTTAAGAGCTATCGAAGTTGGACACCCCTGCTTTTGGATAAGAGTGGCCAAAAGGACAAGGAGACTAAACTGACATCACAGCCTGCTACCTTTCAGATGGGTTTGACAATCCTACGTCTCATTCAGAATTCTGGGAGCAGTGAACCAGTCTGTCTGGAAGGCAAGAGGGGGGGAAAGCTGACCAGAGGTGTTGACCGTGGATTGTGAAATCTACAATCCCGCTCAGATATGAATAGCTGTAGCATGCCAGGCGCTAATCGAGGTATGGGGATAGAGTACAAGGAGAAGACGACCACTGCAGAAAAGCCAAAGGGTACATTCAGGTTATATGTTAGTAAACTTATTACATGGCTTTGTACATTTTTATTAATCTACACTGTTGAAAAATAAAACTCTGTCAACTAGACTAATGATAGTAGCAGAAAGCAAGGAACCAGCTTATTGTATTTCTTAATGAGCTTTTAGATAAAGAAAAATGTAACAATAAAGACTACTTTGAAAAGCTTGGTTCCTGGAGACTATACAGGCCAGTCCATGTACTTTTCTGGGCCATAAGAAAGGAATGTTTGCCTTCTGATTTTTGACCAAATTTCTCTTCTGGCCTACAATCCTGGGATTTTCCCAGAATTTCCCAGCCAGCCCAGCCTAGACAATGAGCATTGAATGTAACAATATAGCTTCTTAAGTTTAAGTAGTTTAGATAAAGTAGAAATAGTCTTATTGTATATAATATTAATGTTTTAATTTTGAGAGAGGAACTGCTCGGGCATTTCCCCTGGACCGCATCAAGAGGGAGGAGAAGAAGGTGAGAAGTATGTAGGAAGGTTGAGGTGAAGGAGGAGAGGAGGTGAGTGACGAAAAAGAGGGAAAGAAGTAAGTTGGTTTGAGGTGGGATGCGGTTTGGGGGGAAATGGGCGGGCAAGACCGAATGTGGCGTGTATCAATTTGTTTTATTTTTTATCTGAAGTATTTGTAAGACTGTTATGTATTGTAAAGTTGAAAATAAAAATTTTTATTAAAAAAAAGTAAAAAAAAAAACAATATAGCTTCTTAGACTATATTGAGTGGCAGTTCTAAGGTGACCAACCGTCCTCCTTTAGGGAGGACAGTCCTCCTTTTGTAAGTTTTCTCCTCCCTCAAAAAGTGTCCTCCTTCATGTCCTCCTTTTTGATGTTTGAAGATTAATCTGCAGGGCTTTTTTTTCCCCTCATAGAACGCTCAGAATGGCGTTCAGGCACCTTTTTTTGATGGGTTTTTTTCAACTTTTGCATGAGCTGTGCTACTCCCACTATTGGCTTTCGAAAGCTAATAGGAATTGCTGCTGAGCGTGCCAAAACACCCGGCTGGCAAACTTTGCACATGTAAGTTGTCTATATTATTGTTGCAATGAATAAAATGTTTTTTTTATTTACAATTTTTTTCTTCAATTTATTTGTGTCCTCCTTTTTATTGTAAAAAAGTTGGTCACCTTACAGTTGTCTAATCTATGTAGTCTATGATATTCCCAACAAAGAATTTAACCAAGTGAGTTTCAAGATTTGGGGGAGGGGGATCTTAAGTAAGAAAAAAAATCCATAGGTACATATGATTCCTTTACAACAATCTCCAACATGCAATATACTCAGGACTTGACAGGATGGCTGGTATTATGAACATTTGCATTAGCCATGCATACCTTGGATAGGTGTATGAATTCACAAAGTATGATAAAATATTAAGCAATAACATTTCACCTGCCACAGAATGGAGAACTCCAGCCTCTTTCAAAATATTAGCGTGTTTCAGCTGTGTCAGATGAACAACTATCTCCAAAGCAGTGTGTCATTTCAACACTTGATTTCCACCTGCCTCTGTTCAGAGAGGATCAACTAAGTAGTTGAGAAGTAGAGAATTATAACCAGCTTTGAAACTCATACAGCAAAATACGTTCTTTAAAATTAGGTTGAATGTAAATAAAATAATTATTGCCAGAACATTGAATTGGTCCTGGAAACTCACTGGTGGAAATGAAGGTACCTCTGGCCTAGTTGGATGTATTTTTCAAGGAATTTTAGGGTGGAATGATGAAAGCAAAATTTTAATTACAAGGAACTCTTTGATGTTGTGAGGTGTTGTTTGATTCACTTCTCTTGTCTGACTCTGACAGTGCTAAGGAAATCAGGATGGCCTTGAAATCAGATATCTCATAATGGGAGTCTCTAACTGTGTAGGTTTTGGAGACTTCAATTGAGGCAGTAGCACACAAAGAGATTGGTCTCCCTTCTCTCTTGTATGGAGAATACCACTCCCTAAGGTCAGATAGCAAGGGTAGAATCCAAGAGATGCTTTTGTTTTTTTGACTCTTTCCAGGGAGTAGTAGTTTGCTCTGAGGAAAGGAAATGAATGTCAAGCACACCCCAGACTGGCAGTAAAATCTCCCGTAATGCAAGAAGGAAGTGAACCTAGGCAAATTCCTCTGTGCAATAAATATCCAGCAACTTACTGCTTAATTTTATTTTGGACAAAACTTTCCCCAATTAATCTCAAAACTATTTTCTTCTGATGTTCAATCTCCATTTTGAAAGGATCAGTACTTTGTTCTTTTGTTTAGAGTTCCTCTTTGAATCTGAAAGTTATCCTTAAGTCTAAAACCCATTCATGTTTCTCCTATTGCTGTATGAATTAATAAATATCAAATGCCATTTTAAAAAGACAGCTTTAATGCTACTTTATTTTGTAATCTGATAATGCATTCTAAAGATTGATGACTGGTTTACAGGTTATGTTGTCCTTGTGTTTTTCACTGAACAGAAAGGAAAAAAATATTTTCTTTCTTTTGGTCTTGCTTTGATACATCTGGTATAAGGAAGGAAGAGTAGGTGGTGGCAAATACTAGTTGAAGCCAATCATTGTTATATCACTCTGAGCTACTCTAGTTGGGTGGGGCGAGTCCAGTGATGAATGTCACCCTTATGTATGTCAATATGAGGTTCTAAGAGACTTCATTACCAGTTGCTCTGCATTTAATGAAGTTCAACCTTAATGACAGATGTCAACATTGCAGAATTTACATTAATATGAAAAAAGGAATATGGGTGGGAGGGCGCTTCAAGAGAGTCTTACCATTGTTGGCTGTCCAATAGGCATGAAGTAGGAGGCTCAAAAGCAGAACTAGCAATAGGCTTAGCAACCAAGCTCAAAGAATGTATCATCTAGCCATTTCTATTTTTTAAAAAATGATGCTATCTTCCATCAGTTGGATTTTCACATCTAAAACCAAAGATGGTCTCCCTGCCATGCCACACAATAATCTGAAATACAGAAGTTACAGCATCTGTAGATGAGGGTTTTGGATATAATAGGGGCCATCCAATAAATTAATACTTTAATTTATTGGAAAAACTATATTATATGAAGCTCCATAAATGTACCCTGGCTCTTAAAATAACAAAAATAACAATCAGTCAAAGCCTTATTTATTTACATTTTAGTTGAGGTTTAGTTGAATGTGAAAAGGCTAAGAGAACTCAGACTGAATTGAATAGTATGGTTTTTAAAAGGTTTGAAAGGTTTAATTAATTTATATTCTAGCCTTTGTACCATGAAAAGTAGTCAGTCTGAAAATTCCTCTTTTGAAACAATACAATTTTTGTGGGGGTGAATGGCTCCTGTTTCAAAGTAGCATGAATTCTGATGCATAGGATTGGAAGCTTTTTCCTAAAGTAACTTCTCTTCCACATTATCTTGAACAATTTCCAAAGGAGAAGCCATGTTAATCTTCTTTAGCAAAAATAACAAGAATGTTGTGGTATGTTAAAATCTCTGAAGGGTATTATCATTTCAGCATTTGTGCATCTTGTCTGACTTCACCAGACATCTGGGACAATTCTCATTTGAGGATAATGCTAAACAACAAATTAAAAAGACACTCTATTAAAAGTAATTGGAAGTTCTTAAAAAGTACTTTAGCTTAAAGCATTATCATCCTTGTGCATTGTTGAAGGGATTCTCCAGGCAATTTCATAAACTTGAAGCTTCAACATTCTGCCCCTTCAACTAAAGATGTTATCTTGATTAACGTTCGGAACTGAAACTCATGCTATTTTAAATAGTTTCTTCAAAATCGGGAGTGTGTAGGATAATTTGTATCCAAGTATACTGCAAATAAATACATAAATAAAACACACAGGAATGTAGTACACTTAATGAGTACCTTAAGGTACTGAATTAATATAGGGGAACTCACATTCAAGTGTACCATCAGTCATGAAAGTTCACTGGGTGACTTTGGACCAATCATTCTCACTCAAATCTATCACACAAGATGACGGTTGTGGGGAAAAATTGGAAGAGGGAATGTTATATAGGCTACCCTGTACTCCTGGAAGGTGGGATATAAATTCAATCAATCAATGAATGTGGGGCTATTATTAGCTGCTGTAAATACTGTAGAACTGTGGGAATGGTGAAAATGTAGTAACTAGTTAACTGTCTCAAAAGGTTCATGAACCCAATCATACCCCTATATTATAAGTAAAACTTTGCTAAAGTGTAGCTAATATTGGACACAAATTATTTTATTGCACTAAATTGGTGGCATAATGAAGAACTGGCAAGTAGACTGGCTCTTCATAATTCCTTTCTGGATAAAGAGGACTTGAGATCACCTACAAGTACTCCAGACAGCTACTCTTTGCAAGAAGAACACAAGACAGCAGACCCCCATAGGTTTAGTTTTGGGAAACAAGCGAATAGCCGTCTTGCTAAAACCATAATTGGTGCCTTTGAAAGAATACTGGGATTTGCACTCTTCCTTTTCTAGCACTTTTAGAAATACTTGTTAACTATTTTTTAGTTATTAGAACTTCCTTCAATCCTTAATGAATGAAGTATTAAATACAAGTGAAATTTGATAAATAAATATTTCTGTTTTTCTTTATTATATTTTATTTTTATATTTTTATATTTTTCTTCTTTCCTGTATTTTTTAAATTTTTTATTTGTATTAGTTTTTACTTTCACAATTGTGCTTTTAATAAAATCACTATATGAAAAAGAAAATAGTCCATTCTTATCGCTAGTGAGGAATATGAATCTTAATTAATGTTACTTATCCTCTGCCCAACTCAACATTTGTTAGAACATGTCTTAGAAAATTTATAAAGCTGGACCAAGCTCACTGTGGTTAAATTCAAAGACCACATTCAAATCCAAATTATTTTATTTATATTTAAATGTTCTATATAATGTTGTCTTGGGTGAATACTACCAATACACAACATCATTAACAAAACAAAAATAACAGAATCAATCCAATCAAACAGTGCAAATGTAACAGATTAAAAAAAAACAACCCATCATTTTAAGGACCGAAAGAAATATAAACTAACTGAACAATCAGGAGGAAAAAAAAATCCCTGGAACAAGCATTTTTAAGCTGAGTATTTGCAAAGAGAGAGGCAAAGATTTTCACACTATTTCATTCTGCTGTATCTGCAGAAAAAAGCTTTTTATGTATTCTAAATCTCAGAAGACATTGGTCTACATAAAAAAACACTCCCTCACAATGCAGGCACTTACGCAACAAAAAGCATTTTTTAAATGACTAGCTCCTTGAATAATGCCAAGAATCATACCTGTTCTGACTGATAGGAAGGTAATGTTGATCAAGATGTAAGGAGCAGCTGGTTTCCTAATAGTCTTCAGAAGGAGTAGCACATAAAATAAATAACTCTTAATCCCCTGTTCTGAATTCACGCTCAGAACAATGAACACCTTGGGCTGACGGCAATTGGCACTGAGAGTTTATTTGATTGACACCCATCTTTTCCACCCAGGCAGTTTGAAAGTTCAATAAGAGTTAGCAATTAAAAGTCACCATTGACAAATTAAAACTGAAAGGCCTGCTTAAAAAGAAAGGTCTTGTCTTCTTTCTAAAGCACAACAATAATGCAAGGAAGTAGGATGTTGGCTTTTATTTATTTATTAATCAAATTTACCGGTATATAGCTGCCCATCTCATGAAAAGTTACTCCAGGATGGCATACAATAATTAATTTTAATATCCAACCTTCAGTGGTGTGAACTCTTTGGGAGCAGGAACATGAATAAGCAAGCAGTCTTTGCATATTAATAGCTCCCCAACACCTCACCTGCTAACCTCTGGTTGCTCACCTTGAAAAAGCCTCAGGGAACGCAAGCAAGCCTGCATCTCCGGGAAGCCATCTACACCGAGGGTGGCAATCATGACAGACAGAAGTTGAACTTCTTTTTCAAGTGTTGCATGATGATCTATCCCTGATTATTATAAAGCATAAATATTAACCACAACAAGTCTGTTCAGAATACATAGCTTGTTGCAGTCTTATCTTGAATATATCTTGTATATCCTTTGAATTATGTGAATCATGACACCCTCAAAATCTCTCCCTCTCCCACAAATCCTGAAGAGCCATGGGGCTCTTTCCAGCAGATGATTGAAATTCATTTTTAATTACATCTGTAGTTTGATGTCAATGAATATAATCAAATATGACTTTTCTGTTAACACACACACACACACACACACACACGCACACACACAGTTATGGTTCCTCATTTAGTTAAGCTGATATTTGAGAAATGTGATTAAGCCTCCATATGTCTATCATTTGAATTATTTTGATTTTTTTCTGCATTTCACACTACTTGATTGACTTCATGAATCAACTCGATATATATTTATAAAGATTTATTTTCTACAGTCAGAGAGAGGGAAACATTTCTAGCCAATATGGTAAATAGTGTAATTCATACTTCAGGAGTTGTCAGATCAGAAACTAGCATTAGAATTCTACCATCAGAAAAAAATATTCAAAGCTACTGCTGCTGTGCCAAATTAAATATGCATAATGTGACTACAAATAATTGGGCTAAAACAAGTCCAGGAAGGAATATATTAAAATGGATTGTTGTATCCTATACCCTTTTCATGATATGAAGCTCTGTGAGATATGCAAATGTAACTTTTACGCAGAGAGGAGTTCCCAATTTCTACTAAAAAGGTGCTTCGTGTGAGAATAAGCCACCTGGAAACAGATCCAGGTGGGTATTGTAACTCCCAGCCTGCCTACTGTATATACTGAAGAATTTGTACAATGACCAGCAAACCACAGTTTGAGCAGAATATAGAACAACTAATAATTCCAAATTGCAAAAAGAATGCACCAAGTTGTTTACTTATTTATTTTCCTTATATGTAGAACATATTCTGAGAAATGCTACTCAAAGAAATAGAAATTAGAATTAAAACTGATGGGAAAATCATCAACAAGCTTTGATATGCTGATGTTATCAGTTTGATGGCTGAAAGCAAGAAGAAATACACAGTTTTTTGCTGAAAGTGAAAGAGAGTTTGAAAGGTAGTCTGCTGCTCAGTGTTTTAAAAAGCAAAAACAAAACAAAAAGCAAAACACCCCCACCAGCTATTTAGTTATTTATAAAACAAATTTGTATAACTGCCCAACCCACACATAGGTGACTCCATCATTATGTCAATAGGCATGGTCAATCCATGCACATGCATTAAGAGAAAGTCTACAGACTTTATCTTCTAGACCAGTGGTTCTTAACCTTTTTGAATGAATCGCCCCCTTGAGCCAATGAGGAAGTTGTCATCGCCCCCCTCCTCCAACATCACCTCTCAATCACAACATAGGAAATAATTCTTCAATTTATGCAAACACTTCTTTTGTTTTCTTTAAAATTGTTTATCAGGACATATCAGTGCAAATAATTTATTTCCAGTCTTTTCCCCATATCCCCCATATTCTGGCTAATGGCACGCCACTGTATGGGTAGAGGCTGCTGCACAATACGCATGAAGATAAGCGATGCGTGTTTACAAAATGTACGGGGTTCTGTACTGAAGCTAGCTGAAGGAACATTTGAAAACACAATTCAATCCACTAATAGCGAGCGATCTGATGTTTTTGTACGACAGATATACAGCCATTCACTGTACGAAAAAGTCTCAAAAGTGTCCCCAAAACGTCTCGCTCCATCGCCCCCATATTGTCCCTTTTTAGTTCCTTTGCCCCCATGTCACCCCTTTTCATTCCATCGCCCCCCTGAAAATTTAAATCGCCCCCTGGGGGGCAATATCGCCCAGGTTAAGAACCACTGTTCTAGACTAGAGATAATGATTGCAACCTGAAATACAGAGATCTACTACTTAGGAGAAACAGCATGGTGGACCAAGACAAAATATGAAAAGTGCAGAGATCCTGCAATGACAATAAATGGGCATATTGTCAAATTTGTAGTTTTTCCTGTTAAACACATATAGCTGAATGAAGAAAAAATGAATCCTTTTAAACTGTGCTGGAGGGAAAGTTGTTAAGAAGACCTTGAACTTCAAGAACAAACAATTCAATATTACACGAAGTTAAAACCAGGCCATTCATGAAGATGTTAATAATAAAGCTAACGTTGAAACAGAGGTTCCATTATCAAATGAGTATGCTCAAGAATACCAATGGACCAGACAGTGACTGATTCAAAGATCAAAGAAAGATGGAAAGAATATACTGAAATTCTGTATTGGAGAGATGTCAACATCCAGGATACCTTAGAAAGTATTCCCTATTTGCAAGAATCTCTAGTGCTAGAAAATGAAGTGAAATTGGTACTCTAGTCATTACCAAGTCAAAAAGCTACAGGAATTTGTGGCTTATCTACAGAAATATGACAAGCAATAGAAGAATCAGTAAAGATTCTAACAAAGCTATGTCAACAATAGAGAATGGTATACTGGCTAACAGATAGTTAATCTATATGCCAGTACCAAAAAGGAGACTTAATAGAGCATGCTAACCATCACCCAATATTCTTAACGTACATGCCAGCAAAATAATACTTGGGATTATTCAATGCATGTTACAGCCCTCTAATCTGCTTTATTGATTATAGAACGGCCTTCCATTGTGTTGATTGTGTCACACCATGGAATGTGTATGGAAAAATGGAAATCCCAGAAGATTTCATTGTCCTCATGGGACAGCTATATATTGATCAAGAACCCTATTATGAGAAGGAGGGCTAAATATAAATTGATGTGTACTAATCATGCTATAACATGGAAACCAATGCTGTGCAAAACATAGAAAAGGAATAAGAAATAGTAAGCCTAAGAAATTAAGGCATGGGACAAGGACAAGAAAATATAATTAAATTTAGTTTATACCAACACCATATTTCTCAATCTCCTCTTATACTTCATCAATTTTATTCTCTAAAATTCTAATCTTTTTAAGGATCTCACCATCTCAATCATTTTTCTTGACTTTTTCTTTAGAGTTAGTCCTTATGACCACAATTAAGCTCAAAATTTCTGTAATAACTTTCTACCATATAGTATTAAACTTGTTAACTCTCAAAATGGATTTTTTCCGCTATGTATTTCAAAATAGTGTGTGTGTGTATATATGTGTGTGTGGGTGTGTATAAATAGACAGACAGACAGAATATGTTCATGTGTGTGCATGTCTGTGTATGGGTATATATTTATTTTCTTTTGAGATCACGCATCAGAATTTCATTTTTAATGTGTACCAGTGTGTTCACAGAAAAAGTGACAATAAAAATTATATCTTATTTCCATTGCTAAGGAAGACAATTATTAAGTGAATTTTGCCCCATTTTACGATCTTTCTTGCCACAGTTGTTAAGTGAATTATTGCAATTGCTAAGTTAATTAAGCTAGTTGTCAAGTCAATCTGGCTTTCCCATTGACTTTGCTTGTCAGAAGGTCACAGAAGGAGATCACACGTCCTCAGGACATGGCAACGGTCATAAATGTACCAAATGTTCAAATTTTGATCATGTAACCTTGGAGATGCTGCAATGTGTGATTTGATCCTTATTTATCCTTTTTATATGACCTCATTTATCCTCTTTTTATGACCAAACCACCTCAAAATATTTGTTCATAACGATCACTCATTTTGGTATTCAGCCTGCATTTTAGCACCATTTGTTCTTAACTTGTTCTTGCTTTCCATACTTCTTAACTAATACATTCCAACTACTTTCAACACCTTGCTTTTTCTGACATACCCACTTTTGTCTTTGTATGATAAAGAGGGTCAGAATATATTCTTATAAACAGTTATTTTTGCATCTTTTGCAAGAATTTAGGCACCCTGACTAAATTTGTATATATTAAAGAATCCTAAGTGAACAGAAACCAACATAACTTCTGCATGGTATGAAATTAAATGTTAATTTTCTGTGGACCACAATCAAGTTTTTTTCTTTCTGGGTGCAATTCTTTTTTTTACAAATTCAAAATAAGAAAATAGCGAAGAGAACATTTTTGCCGTGGATTGCATTCATTCACAATTTTCCACCAAAATCTTTGATTCTTCCATTATCACCATTAACTGGAGTGTAAACTTCCAACTATCACAGGCTACAGACATCCATTTCCTTAGGCATCCACAAAAGATAGACTCTAATTCGTACTTTTCATTTTAGCTTTTTCATTCATAATTAAACCTATATTTTATTTCAGTGCATTTTCTCATCAGCCCTATTGTGCAATATCAGACTATCTTTATTCAGATCTATTATATCCTTCTCCTTTCTCTTACTTTTATAGACACACGAGCATACTATTTTGTTTTCATTTCACTTGCAGTCTTTATCATTTATCCCTTTTAATTCCAAGATTAGTTGGTTGAAAATCAGGGTCATTATATTTAATTCCCTTACAAAATTTTGAATTTATCCTGATTGGATAAATATAAAAATTATAAACCTCATCATTTGAACATACACAATTTATAACTTAGGATAATATTGCTTATCGGAAAACATTTTCTCCCTAATTTCTTGAATGTTTTGTACTTCTTTCACTTTATATCATTCCTTGATTTTCCATTTTCTATCGCCAGCAAGATTACAAGATAGTATTTATAAATATAGTACTATAAAGCATTTTATTATGAAATAACACTATATATATGATACAAATCAGTAAATGGGACATGACAAGAGTGAATTATGATGGGAGACACTCAGCCACTTACATATACAGTATGTGCTTATTTATTTATTAAATTTATATACTGCCCATCTCACTCTGAAAAGTGACTCTGGGCGCTTGCCCATCTCAGCCTTTCTTCCTTCCTCCTATTCTTCCCCAAACATTCCACCCTCTCTAAGCAGAGGTTTCATACACTTGCTCATCCTTAATGTGGCATTGTCCTAGAGGAACATGGGTTTGGATATTTTTACTATAACATTGGGGATTACTT